TTGCCTATCAAGGTGCCAATACTTTAAGGCAACAATCAATACTCAAGAGAATGTGGATAGTGTCACAAGAGGTAAATTATGAGATTTTTGTATGATGTTTAGTCTTTGTCGTATCTTCTACAATAAGCGTGTTTGTTATCTTCAGGCAAAATATAAATATTCAAGATTATTTTAATTCTAGGTATTACTAAGCATGATTTTTTTTCCACAGCAAACTCTAATTTGCTGGGATTTTTTTGATAAATGAGACAATACTTTGCATCACTGTAATTAAGTAATAATTCATTGAACTTTGTGCTGTTACCTTCATCACTTAAACTTACAGATAGAAAAGAATCTGCTTTAGGTTTTTCTATTTTTATTCCATGTGTTTTATTTTAATTCTACAGCTTTTAGAGCACTTTTGGGTTCACAGTAATATAGAGCAATGGTATTCTCCTATAATCCTTGCCACACACAGGCATATTCTCTCCCACTTTCAACCTCACACACTAAAGTGGTATATTTTCTAGAATTGATGAACTCTAACCAAGGTGCACAGTTGACAATATATTTCAGTCTTACTGTTGTACATTCTATGGGTTTTAATAAGTTTATAATGATATAAATCCACCATTGTAGTATCATGCTGCATATTCTCACCTATTCATCCATCATTCCCTGCCATCCCCTGGAAATTACTCTTGTTTTCACCATGTTCATAGTTTTTCCTTTTTCAGAATTTCATATACTTGGAAACTTACCTATGTAGCCTTTTAACTCAGTAATACACAGTAACATTTCCTTTATGTTGCTCATGGCTTGATAATAATTTCTATTTAGCACTGAATAAAATTTCATTGTCTGATGTACCACAGTTTATCTATAAACCTACTAAAGGACATTTTGGTTGCTTCCAAGTGTTAGTAATTATTAAGTAAGCTGTTATAAAAATTTGTCATTTTTTGTGGATTTATGTTTTGAAGGCATTTGGGAAAATACTAAGGATCATAATAGCTGTATTATTTGCTAAGTGTAGGCTTCATTTCAAAAGAAACTACAAAATTGTCTTTTGACTACCTGTGCCATATGAATTTCCACCATCAATGAATGAATGTTCTTGTTGCTACATATCCTTGTCAGTATTCGGTTTTGTCAATATTCTGAATTTTGGCCATCCTAATAGCTATACGTAATTTTGTTATTTAATTTGAATTATCCTGATATATGATGTAAAACATTTTCGGTGTGTTTACACATTTTAGTAAGATTATTTCTTATTGTTGATTTTTGGGTGTTCTCTGTATATTAAGGATAGAAAACTGTTATCATTTTTTTTTTTTTTGCAAATATGTTCTGCCTATGGATCTTGTCTCTTCATTCTCTTGATATGGTCTTACAAACAGTGGAATTTTTAATTTTAATGAATGCATCTTATACTTCTTTCATACATTGGTGGTGTATACTTCTTTCGTATATGGTGTTGTATCTTCTGTAAAGGCATCATCAAACCTAAGGTCAGCTAGATTTTCTTCTGTTATCTTCTGTGAATCTTCTAATTTTTTATTTTACATTTAGTTCCCTAATTATTTGGAGTTACTTTTTGTAAGAGTGCAAGTTTGATATCTAGATCCTTATTTTTTATATATGAATAGTAGTTTCAGCACCATTTATTGCTTTTATCCACTGTGTTACTTGTGCTCCCTTGTGAAACACTAGTTGAATATTTTTATGCAGATCACTTCCGTTCCACTGATCTACTTGGGTGTATTCCCTTGTATTGTCTTAATTTTGTGTTTTGCAGTGCACTTTACTATACATTGTATTATATTTTACAAAGTCATTGTTTTGATCATTCAGAATTTCTGTATGTATATCAATATGCTTGCAGTGAAATATAATTCTTTTCTGAAGTTGAAACAAGTCCCAGTCATATTTTCATTAATAGCATGTAAAACTCACCGATGAAAAATGTACATAATTCAGTTTTTCCCTCCAGAAAAAATTTATGTGTCTTAAATTTCTCTATTTTATGAATCATAACAAAATTTATCATCTTCATTTTATAAATACTACAAATATATTTTGTTATTAATTTTTGTTTATTTTTGTTACTAATGCAGTTTTGCATATTTCATCCTTTTGTTGCTATACGTAATATGATCTTTTTCCTTAACAAAATTTACCTTATTGCTATAGTTATTTCAAAATGTTATTATACATATAAGTTGTAAATGTCAACATAACTAAAATTTAATTTTTATTTTTATAAGAAAATTCATTGCCCAGATTGGTTAACATAGAGAAAAATTCTCCTTTCCCATGTAAAGGATTCTTTGACACAGGTAAAGAGAGAAAAGGAGATAGGCAAAGAAAAAGAGAGAACTAGGAGAGTGGAAACTTTACCATCTTAAAGCTATTGATAAAAGTTAGTAAATGATTAATTAGTGGAGCTTAGCAGTCAACCATTGAGAAGATTTAGAATTTTGCAAAGTCCTTTGATATTTTGTAGAACTTCATGATGTTATTCAGCAATATAAATGGAAGTTAATGCATGCAATGCCAGTACAAACTTTTACAAACAGTAAAGCAATGTATTTGAGCTAACAAATTATATTTATTCATGTATATAACCTTCCATGTTTTTTCAGTAGTTGAACCTTCTGGGAAAGATTACATAGATGTGAGGGTGGTAAATATATGATAAATAAGGTGCAATAATCATCTTGTAAGCCTATAGCAGACATTGATAGCAGATTATTTACCCTCTCTGAGAATCAGATAAAAAAAAAATTATCTCATGCAGCCACTAGTAATCCATGAGAATTGCCATGCAAAATATAAAGTTAAAAATATTTTCTGCCAAGAAGTATATGCCAGTACTTGTGTTACATGATTGTAAGAGAAAGCATTTGGAAGAAAGGAAAATATCCTTAAGTGCAGAATTTAAAGAAAATAATAATAATAATAATAATAATAATAATAATGTACAAAATTGTAAGGCCAGAATAATTTCTCAACCTAGTCAGTGTTTGGAATATGTAGAGTTTTCTTTAATAAAGCTGAAATTTTAGGAACGGATGGATGAGATGTTAAAGTACTGCTAAATATTCTCAAAAGGGGAGAAGATTGGGAAGAAGTATGTGTAAGTTTGATTTTCAATGTGGCTACTATTTGAGGTAATCTGAAATTTTGTACTGGAGCTTGTAAGACCTCACTGTAAAGTTTTAATTACTGAATCAGGATTAGTTATTAATCAGTATTTATTAATAGTATTAGTATGGGGCTGATTAACTGAACAACTTACTAACTGTTCCTTCTGCTCTACTTAAGAGGACAGAGTACACAAAGTTGAAATGTTTATGGCATTCTATCCCCCGTTTCTCAAAACCTTCTAATTGGGCCTCCCTGGTGTCACAGGGGTTAAACTCTATTAGACACTCAACCAGCCACTGTAGCATGAGTTCGATCTCTGGCCAGGGATCTGACCCAGGTAGCAGTGTATTTCAGTAGATCCACCTGTTCTGCTCCCTACTCTGTCTCTGGTGAATACTCTCACCCCCTGCACCTCTGGCCTACACCCCAGTTCTTGTAATACATAAATAAATAAAAATAAATTTTTCTAAATCCTTGTAATCACTTTATATTGCCAATAATAAAAAAAAAAATCCACTAGGTTTGACTAGTCTGCTCTGCTCTCTTTCAATAAAATTTCTAAAGATCATTCTTCCTTTTTCTGATCAATTTCCTTCACAAAGATCCGCCTTCAGTTGTAACCACTCTTTCTCTCTGTGCTATAATTATATAAACTGGCCCTTCTGCTTGGAATGCTCTTTTTATCTCTCAAACATTTACTTCTTTAGCTTTCTTTTTTTAAAAGATTTATTTATTTGTGCATATAAGAACTGGGGTACTGGCCAGTGGTGCAGGAGGGTGAGAGGATTCAGCAGAGACAGTGAGGAGCAGAACAGGCAGACTGACTGAAAACACTGCTGAGGGGAGCAGCCGGCGAGACAGGAGAGGTCTGCTGCGCCATGTGGGTATCTCCCTGGCCGGCTGGGTATCAAACTTGTGCTGCAGAGGCTGCATAAAGCTTTGTAGTGCTGTGCTTTAACCCCTTGCACCACCAGGAAGGCCCTCTTTAGCTTTCTTTATATGTTGGTATAAATATCTCCTCCTACAGTGGTCCTCTGAGACCACCACACCTAACCTTATTATTCTCTCTAAGGCAGAGACCAGCTTGCAAATTAGATGGTATCTGTACTGCTGACAGATTTTGGTCCTATTGAAATTTTAAAAATGTTTAATGAATGACTGAATTCAGTTAAAAGAACATCTAGTATCCATGTTATCTGATGGGGTAAAATACAACAAGCAGCTCATAGTTCTAATAATTAATATTTCAGGTAATATTAATGCTTTGAAATATATTTGGGTATCAAATATTTGAAGTTTTATTTTTAAGACTTATTTTTATATTTTATTAAAGATGATTAATCTACTGAGGCCACACAGTGAAAATTATTATTCAAATCATCATTCAAATCACAACTCCTCAGTGAAGTCTCAATATGACTTTCATATACTAATGGATGTTTTAAATTCTATTAAATTACTACATATAATTTTAGAAATATAAACTTATACTAAACACCAAAAATGTGTACTTTTAGGTTTGCTATTTTACATATTAATTCAATAAGACTTAAAATTTTTGTCAGAAGATAATCTGCTTATGTATTTCAGATATTCATCATGTTTGTTTCCTCCAAGTCTAACACAAGATGTACATGATGATACATGTTTATTTATATATAAAATCTATAATATGAATATTTTCCATTAGGACTTTAAATAAACGCTATCCTAATATTTCTGTGAGATTTGAGGGAAGAAATATGGCATTATTTAACATTTTAATTTTAATGGTTTGAATAAATATTTAAAGCTCAACCCCCCGCCCCCAAATAGCAGAGGATGCAATCAGTCAACTGTGGAGTCAACACTTAAGGGGTCAACACTTAGGGTTTCAGCCAGGAACCAATTTTCTGGCTGCACAGTCTCTTAATGGCTGCCTTCATTTCCTGGTTCCTCAGAGTATAAATAATTGGATTAAGAAGGGGGGTGATTATGGAGTAAAATACAGAAAGAAACTTATCAACAGTATAGCTACTGAATGGGAAAGCGTAGATGAAAGTGGCTGGGCCAAAGAAGAGATTGACCACAGTAATGTGGGCAGAGAGCGTGGACAGAGCCTTGGAGGATGCACTGGAGGAGCGCTTCCAGATGGTGACCAGCATGACAACATAGGACATGAGCAAGAGAAGGAAGCAGATCAGGGACAGCAGCCCACTGTTTGCAATCACCAAGAGCTCTAGGTTATAGGTCTCAGTGCAGGCAAGCTTGATGACCAGGGGAAGGTCGCAGAAAATGCTGTCCACGACATTGGGACCACAGAAAGGTAAACCCACTGTGAAAATCATCTGACTTGTGGTATGTATGAACCCAACTGTCCATGAGAGAATTAGAAATATGATGAGCATTCTGGGACGCATGATGGTCTTGTAGTGCAAGGGTTTGCATATAGCAACGTACCTGTCGATTGCCATGGCTATGAGAAGAGACATCTCTCCACCCCCAAAGAAGTGCATGAAGAACATCTGGCCCATGCAGCCCCACACGGAGACAGTCTTGTGTTTTCTTAAGAAGTCTGCAATTACTTTTGGAGTTGCCACAGAGGCAAGACAGAAATCAAAAAACGATAAATTTGCCAGTAAGAAATACATGGGGGAGTGAAGGTGGCTGTCAAATATCACAGATATCACAATGAGGAGGTTTCCCACTACGATGGCTACATAGACAGGAAAAAAGATTGCGAAAAAGAATATTTGAACTTCTGGAGAACTGGAAAGTCCCAGCAAGATGAACTCTGTAATGTTTGTTCTGTTATTCAGGAGAGCCATTCATTCTTTGTATGAATCTGTCACAAGTTGTCTAAAAGGGGAAAAACACAGAAATTACATGAACCAAAGATAAATGAATCTAAAGCAAATTTATGCAACCTTTTATTCAAACAATCCTCTGGCAATGCAAGTACTTTGTAGGTATTCATTGGTGTTTTTAGTAGAAAATGTGTCACAGGAGCACAAGCAAGTAGAAAAAATGTGATGGAATAGAGGAAAATTAAATCATGTTGTGTTTTTGCTTCATAAGGGACAGGGACAGTTAGACCTTGAAAAACTTTTTTCCCATCATGTTCAGCTCTAGATGAGACTGCACATGATACTGAATTACCACAGTGATGGAGAAGAATTCTGAAAAGCATAAGTGGAGATTTTTATATTTTGCAGGTCTCAGAAAGTACTTTTATTGACACATTTTGTCATTACCTCCATATGCATATTCATATGCAGGAAGATGTTCCCCATAAGTAAAGAAAAATCTTTCTGAAATCACCAAATTTACCTTATGATTCCTGAAAAGAACTAATGGTTGACCATGACCATGTTATAGATGCAAATGTGAATGTGAGGCAGTTATGTTGTTAGCTGAGCTTAAACTCAATTTCTGAGGAAAGATGAATGTTTTAAAAATGGAATGACCCATTCCATTTAAAAATGGAATGTAAATAAGGGGGGAGGTGCAATTGTATGGGGAATATAACCAACATGAAAATGCATACATTGTGCAAAGATGAAAAAAGATGTAAGAATTATGTCAAAAATATTTAAATAATTAAAAAAAAATAAAAATGGAATGTATTAAAAATGGAATGTCTCTCAAAACTAAAGATATTCTTCTCATATTATTGCCTGACTTAAGTTTATAATGAGTAGACATGTTATCCCATGTGTGCATTCTTATACAGTTGTTTCAAAATTGGACCAAATGACGATATTTATTTTAAAAAGAGTGCTCATTTCTTTTTTTTTTTTAGATTTATTTATGCATACAAGAGCTGGGGTACAGGCCAGAGATGCAGGATGGGGGACGTGAGAGGATTCACCAGAGACAGAGTGGGGAACAGAACAGGCAAACTGCCTGAAACACTGCTGAGGGGAGCAGCAGGCGAGACAGGAGAGGGCTGCCTCGCCATGTGGGTTTCTCTCTGGCTGGCCAGGGATCAAACTCTGCCACAGAGGCTGAGGATTGCTTCATAGTGTGGTACTTAACTCCTTGCACCACCAGGAAGGCCCAAATGACTGTATTTATAGGATATTCCTGTTTAAACCTTGTGTTTTTGACATAGAATGACACACCATCATCACTGTGAAGACTATGACTAGTGAGATTGTTCTGATATGATTTTGCAGAACTTCTCTTGTAAAGATATATAAAGATTACAGAGTGCTTCCTAAACTAAAAGCAAAAATCTGTGATTTATTTTTGAAAGACTATTTTCTTTGAGCTAGTTACTTTTACCCCTTGCACCTAGGTTTATTTACAGTGATTTTCCTTTAAGCTTCATTTAACCTTTAACTTTATCAGGAAAGACATATGACAGATATTATGTTATCCACTGAGGTAGACTCAGTTATATTAAATGAAATCTTAAAACATACTTACAATTAAAAGATATTGGTTAGTGTGCAATCTATATTTATTTATTTAATCCCCTTTGGCTAATTTTAACTCTACTTTCAAGGTTTGTTCCAAGCTTGTTGCTCATTTCCCATCCTTATCTTTGATCTTAGATCCAGACCTAGTTCAGATAAGTAGAGGAGAAAATAGGACATATGTGACTTGTCAGGGTACATTTTGACCTTTTCATCACATACTTTAAATGTTAAAAACAGTCTATCTCATTAACCATAATGAACACTTAAGTACCTGCCTTTTCTATGTGAAATTACTATCATAAAGACATACAACTTCTTCCTAACTGACCTATATACTCTATTATGTTGATTACATCATTCAGAGTAGCATAAAACTTTCTTTCAGAAGGTAATAATTAAAAATGGGAATCTTCAATAGGTCTTGCTCATGATGTGAATTTTCTCTGTTTCATTTCAAATTTTTACCATACAACAATAATTTTATCACAGCTACAACCCATAGATTTTTTGTAATTCTCTGAATTATGCAAATAAATATATTTGGTGCTCAAGAGCATGGCAAATTTAAACAAGAACACTGGACAATGGGCCTCCCCGGTGGTGCAGCGGTTGAGCGCTCGGTTTCGAGGCTGCCCGGAGCCTCTGCAGCGCTGCTTTGATCCCTGGCTGCTCCCCGGCCACGGAGGAGGGTCCCACATGGTGCACAGACCTCTCCTGCCGCCCACTGCTCCCCTCAGCAGTGTACTTTGGTCCTTCTGCCTGTTCTGCTCCCCGCTCTGGCTCTGGTGAATTCTCTCACTGTCCCGCGCTTCTGACTGTACCCAGTGCTTGTATAAATAAATAAATAAATAAATAAATAAATAAATAAATAAATAAATAAATAAGTCTTAAAAAAAAAAAAAAAAAAAGGACAAGGACAAGGTGATTTCGCCCAATGTTTTTACACAATAATGAGTTCATTCAAATGTTCGCTCACTTTCAGACTGTAGTCTTAAGAAAACTAAATTTCCTTAGATGTTCCATTGCTCTCCATAATTTCTAGCAAATATTATCATAACATCAATATATTGTGACTGGTAAAATTGTATGGTTTTCCAACATATGGATCAGGCATTTTATTTTATTAATAATCTCTCTTCAAAAATAACTGCATCCCGGGCCTCCTTAGTGGCCTAGGGGTTAAGTCTCAGCTCTGTCACTGCGAAGGCCTGAATTCGGTCCCTGACCAGGGAGCTCACCCATATGACACAGTAGACCTCTCCTGTCTTGCCCATTGCTCCCCTTAGCAGTGTATGTCAGCATATCTGCCTGTTCTGCTTCCCACTCTGTCTCTGATGAATCCTCTCATTACCCCCTGCACCTTTGGCCTACACCCCAGTTCTTCTATGCATAAATAAATAAATTAAAAATAAAGCAAAAAATAACTGCATCCCTAAATGCAACCAAGCAAGTTTCACTACACTATACTATACAATAATTCAAAGGATGAAATCATTCTATGTGATTATTGTAGTCAAACAATTTAAAACATACCTGATCCTTTTCTTTAAGAATGACATGTTTGGTCTGGTTTGCTGGATTTTCTCCTTATTTCCAATACACATAGGTAAGGTGATTTTTATATTTTCCAGTAGCAACAAAATCAAATTTGTTCCATTTTCTCCTTCCTGGTTCCCTCCACAGCTGGTTATTTGACATTTATATTTTATCACTTATGGACATGTTGAATATTATAAATGAAAGTAATATGATAGATGTGGCATTTAGATAGAATAACATCAGGATTATGTAACCTACCAGTTTACACTAAGACTTCAGAAGTGACATCAATATGAAATCCTGGATGTTTGACCTTCATCATCCAGTCATCTTTCTTTCTGCTCTGAACTTCAAAAGACAACAGTATATAAAGGTTTCCCTTGATAGGCAGCATAAAGGAGAAAACTCGTTTGATTGTTGTTATATCCCTCAGAGACTGGCAGTGAGAAAATAATTGGGATTGTTAAAACAGACTTTTGAAATTGCAGAATAGGAGACACCATTTTTTTAGCCTATCAAATTGGTGACATTTTAAAGGCAATAATCAATACCCAGAGGAGTGTGGAAGGATATGGGACTATGAAGTGAGGCAAATTATGCAATATATGCATGGCATTTGTTGTTTTGTTGTAGTTTACTTAAAACAATTAGCTTTGAAAATTATTAGACAACATATATAAATTATTTTAATTCTAAATTTTGTTTAGGTTGAAATTTTCACTATTAACTCTTATCTACCTTATATTGCTCCATTTACTCATTCATTCATTCATCTGTGATGGGATTATGTGTTCAAAGTCTTCGTTACAAATTCTTTTGCCATAAAGGAGCATAAAAGCCTGTGAATAGCCAGTCCTCTTCAGGGAGAGTTTTCATCATTTTCTCAATTGCTTCCATAGGATTTCTCTTCCCTAGGCATATTTAAAATCTTATCCTTAACATAAGTTAGAAATGAACATGTGCCTGGATTAGCATCACTCCCACTAGAATGTTCCACAGTACACTAGTGTTCATAGCTAATTGGCATATTCTCCACTAAGGACCGAACAACTCTTTTCCAACATCAGTCCTATATATACTTTGTGTTAGTAATTTTAAGATTCTTCACCATGAGCCTTCTGTTAGGCACTTCCTCACTGGGTAGACCTATTTGACAACCTGTTTTGTTGTTACAGGTTTAGTCCTCTACTGAAATTCACATTGGTTATGTACACAATAGGGTTGGAACTGTATTTCCTAGGAGTTTCTGCCTTTGTTGTTTCAGGTAAATGGATTCAGAAACTTGTTGACTTGTTTTTGACATTGAGCTTTGCACTTTGGCAGCATTCTGGAGGAGAAAGAGCCTTCTTTGTGGCTTTTGTCCTTTGCAGAGGAACTCTCTTCAGCTTCTACTTATATTCTATCACAGAATAGTCCTTTATGCCTTCTACACTCATATATTTCTACATTTAAGTCAAGTTACAATTTCATTGCTGAGTAACAACTACCCAAGAGATACCAGTAACATTCAAGATTTGCCTTTTGAATTCCGATCAAAATTTGGGGCAACCATGATTGTGTGTTGCTGAGCACTTTGAGAAGCAATTTGCCTTTGTCCTCAGATATTAAAGTTATCTCTGTTCTTGCCCTTGTCTTTCTGGATAATTTAGTGATAAACAATTAAATCTCACCCTGTCATTTTTTTTACACTTCTTTTTTTTTTTTTTTTTTCCTTTCACAGATGGAAAGAAAGTGCTTGAAAACTCCTGCTGAAAGTATATGGTGATAACCTTCTAGACATAAACTTCCCTTCAACAACCAGGTAATGCTGTTTTTTTTCTGTTTTTGACATGGCCTGTCTGGAATTTATTTGTAGTATTGGAGGA